GTACAGAATGTGGGTCCAGAGAAGTCCCTCATCCTCCACGGGGAGACAGAGGCAGGATCCCCTCAGGGCCTTTTCTACCATTTCTTCTTTGTCCAAATCGTCCATCCCTGGTGTACCATACCTCGGTGTTTTCCCACCTCCTGGAGTGAGAACAGCCTAAGATGATGTATGCCCAGGGGCTGCCCAGGACAGACCAAGACAGAACTGGCTCCATCTGCCTCTTACTGGCTTTCAGAGACAGGAGTGGCGAGTGAAGGAGCAAAGTCTCTATGTCCAGTTCTCCCTACCTTGGCTCTGGCCAGAGTGGAGCCCTAGGCCACCTGGTTAAAGATTGGCCAGGTATGCGTGAGAAGCTCAGGCCAACTCCAGTCCACGTGAGGTCAGATTGGTCCCTGACCATTAGATGACAATCAACAGATCTGTCCTGAAACTTCACAGGAAGCTGAGACCTGCTGAACTTGGATTGAAGAAGTATGGAGATATCTGCCTGGTGTCTCTTGAGGCTTTATAAGTGCCACTGTGGTACCCCAGCGTATCAGTCAGTGCTCTCCAGAGGAATAGTGCTGGACTTAATAGATACCACGAAATACGGTGACTTATACAATAAGGCCTAAGCTCCTAGCAGGAAGCTAAGGTGGAGCTGGGCGGTGGTGATGCACATCTTTAATGCCAGCACTTGGGAGGTAGAGACAGGAGGATCTCTGTGAGTTCAAGGCCAGCCTGGTCTACAGAGTGAGACCCTGTCTCAAAACCAACCAGCCAACCCCACAAAGCCAAAAACCAAACAAACGAAAGAAAGGGTGTTGAGCAGGAAAAGCAGTGGCTTCTTTTGTCTGATGTGCCTTTCTCTTCTTTTGCATGCTTTCCCGTTTTTATTTGTTTTTATTTTGTGGTGGGTGTTTTGCCTGAATGCATGTTTGTGCACCACATGTTTGCTTGGTGCTCCCAGAAGCCAGAGGATCTCTTGGAACTGGAGTTACGAACAGTTGTGAGCCACCGTGTGGATGCTGGGAAGCAAGCCTGGGTCCTACGGAGGAGCGGCCAGTGCTCTTTTTTTTTTTTTTTCTTTATAAATATTTTTTAAAGGTTTATTTATTATGTATACAGTGTTCTGCCTGCATGCCAGAAGAGGGCACCAGATCTCATTACAGATGGTTGGGAGCCACCATGTGGTTGCTGGGAATTGAACTCAGGACCTCTGGAAGAACAGCCAGTGCTCTTAACCACTGAGCCATCTCTCCAGCCCCCACCCCCAGACCTCTTTATGTCTAGGCTGCTGATGGAGGGTGCTGCCTATCCACTCTGGGGGCCATCCAGAGATGTGTTTCTTAGTTGACTCCAGATCCAATCAAGTTAACAATCAAGATTAACCACCAATATGTGCCCACTTGCACAACCGTGGTGTAACTATTATGGCCCAACCACTTTTTCTGATGGAATTTGAGGCCTGCTGTCAATAGTTTGTAGCTGGCAAGCTCATAGTCTCTGATGGGATCGATACTACTGCTGAATGGTTGTGTTGTCAAACTGCCTTCTAAATTCTTTTCTGTCCACAGATTAGTGCTATCCCCACTTTGATGAGAGAAGCTCCTCTTACAGGGCGCAGCAGTTCCTGCAGAGACTTCTAACTGGTCAAAGAGCTGAGAATAAGTGACTGTCAAGAGCTCAGCCCCAAATGTATCATTTGCTGTAAGGTTGAATACATGCACGTTGATCCATCCGTGTCAGCCCTTTGAAGGCTGGGAGAAGAGGAGGCAAGTCAGTGAGAGCGGAGGAAGTGGTAGGGAGCTGTGAAATGTTTTCCAGGTGTAACATGACCATTGAACCCATGACCTCACAGCAGCAGTGATTACCCAACAAGACCAGGCCAGTCAATGTTCAGTCACACATGGGAGAGGGGATCACGAGGCGCCAGCCTTTTCTGATATTGACAGGTAATGGCTCCTGGAGGAGGCAGAGGTATTTTCTCCAGTGGTGTAGCCACTTGTAAGTTTTCCAGACTTCTGTAAACAACCCCTCACCCATGCTCTTGTAAGAAACACTAGTCAAACTCATTGGGGCAGAGAGAGGGAGAGAGACAGAGAGACAGAGACAGAGAGAGACAGAGATACAGACAGAGAACAAAACAAAAACCAATGAAATCAGAAGGAAGACTGGTGGGAAAGAGGAAGGGAGTCAGTTGGAGTGGAGGGTGACAGGAGAGGATAATGGGGGTGAGTGTGCTCAAACACATAAAACACACCTATGACAAAGTCATGATTAAAACCTGTTGTCATGTATAACTAATACATATTCTAAAAAGTTTAACTATCATGACCAAGGAGTCTTCCACTGGACTGAAGGCTCTGGAGGGAAGTCTATGCCCCTTCAGATTGGAACCATGTCTCTTCTCTTGACAAGGAGTCCCAGAACAAGGCCACTACTCCTAGCACCCCAAAGGCTGGGCTTCTTCTCCTTAGTGGCCTGTCTCTGAGCAGGGGGATTTCCTCCTCAATGTGGAGCTCTGTCTCCCTTTTCCAGTTTGAGATGGCCAGGGCTGGGTTATGGTCTGATCAGTTTGGAATCCTGGGGCATCACGGTCTCTGTCTTTAGACTGAGATTACTCAGGATGTGCCCTTCTTATTCTAAGAGATGAGCTGGGTCTCCTCCTGTCTGGAACTTCTTGAGGAGTTTGCCTTGGGTTTGAAGATAATAGGCAGGTCATAGACAGGTGGAACTCCAGAAAGGGGCTCCCTTCCTCCAGAGTTTATCACAGGTTGGCCCTGCCTTCACCTCCTAAACATTATTATTATTACTTTCTTTTCAAGAAGATCTATCTTATTTTTAAATTGTGTGTAGTTGTGCATGTGTATCTGTGTCCGTGTCCGTGTGTGTGTGTGTGTGTGTGTGCGTGTGTGTTCACAGAGGTCAAGGTGTCTGGGCTCTGGAGATGGAGTTTCAGGCAGTTGTGAGCCTCCTGATGTGCACGCTGGAAAATTAAACTACAGGGGAGCAGACCTGCTCTAAACCTCTGAACCATCTCTCTGGAACTTTGTATGGACTTGACCAAGAGCTAAGGAGCATATTACATGAAGAGGGGAGACTGTGGGTCAAAGCACCCATCACTTTCTCGGCTGTCACAGTCTTTTCACTTCCTCTTCCCTAAGCCTTCAAAAGGTCATACAGATGTTCCATTTAGGGCTGAGCATTTAATAGTCACTTATTCTCAGCACTTTGACCAGTTGTTAGGAGCTTCAACATTATTTTTTTAAATACATAATTGCCAATATTATTTTTTTTGAAAGCCACAGACAACCATGATATGGCTCTTTAGATTGTTGGGTGATAACCATTGGACATACCTCTTTGGAAATAAGTCTGTCTCATTCTTATTTCAGCTTGGAAAATTACAACTTGTAGGACATATTTAGTTGGAACTTTATGAGTCATCAAGAAAGCAGAAATGAACTGAAAGAGCAAGAGTGCAGATGGAGCCTGATGTGGTGGTGCACGCCTTCAATCCCAGCACTCAGGAGGCAGAGGCAGGCGGATTTCTGTGAGTTCGAGGCCAGCCTGGTTTACAGAGAGAGTTCCAAGACAGCCAGGGCTACACAGAGAAACCCTATCTCAGAAAAACAACAACAACAAAAACAAAGGAACAAACAAAATTGTGGCAAAACATTTATTACATTACCATTTAAGCATGCAGTTCAGTGGTGTTAAGTATGTCCATAGTGTGGTACAACAGTGACTACCATCCACTTTCTGGAATTCTTTCATAATCCTAAACAGAAATTCCTTAAATACCAAGTCTAAAAACAAAACCAACCAGCTCCTCATTCTTGCCTCCTTTGAACCTGTGGGAACCTCTTGTTCTTATTCTGTGACTGTACCCACTGAGGGCTGAACAGTGTTCCTTTCTGTGAGCTTACCACAGGTACGAGCTGCCCTTCTCATGGCTGTGACCAGATGCCTCCCAGGAAGCAACTTAAGGGAGGGAGACATTACAGGGCTTACAGTCTGAGGAGATGCACTCTATCATGGTAGGGAAGGCATGGGGGAGCAGGAGTGGCGTGACCACATTATATGATAAATCTGTGTTTAACTTTCTGAGGGACTGCTGAATCATTTTTGACGGTAGCTAAACCATGGTGTATTTCCATCAGCAATGTATGAAGGTTATACTTTTTCCACATGCTCCTCAATACTTATTATGTTCCATTTTAAAAATTACTGACTTCCTGCTTATAATGGTTGGCTTTTGTCTACTTGGCACAAGCTAGAGTCACTTGGAAATAAGGAACCTCAATTTAGGAACCGCCTCCATTAGACTGGCCAGGGGATTTGTCTGTGGGACATTTCCTTGATTGATGATGGATGTGGGAGGGCCCAGCCCACTGTGGGTGGGTGCCACTTCCAGCCAAGTGGTCCTGAGTTGTATAAGAGAGCCAGGCAGGGGGATGTTGAGATGGTTCAGCAGTTAAGAGCACTGGCTGGTCTTCCAGAGGTTCTGGGTTCAATACTCTTCACCATGGAGCCATCTCTCCAGCCCCAATTGTATATCTTTTTTAAGAGAGCTGTTGACTCAAGTCCCTTGTCCACTTCTGAACTGGGCTCTTTGAATTATAGAAGGTCTTTACATGTCCTTGACATTCACCTCTCATCAGAAGTATGTTTTGCAATTATCTTCCATTCTGTGACTTATATTTCCACATCTCCCTTTGTGTGTGTGTGTGTGTGTGTGTGTGTGTGTGTGTGTGTGTGTGTGTGTGTGTCTGTGTGTCTGTGTGGTGTTTTATGTATGTTTGGTGTATTGTGTATATGTTCATATATATAGGTGTGCATGTCCAACCCAGAGGCCAGAGAAGTATGTCAGGGGTCTTCCTCTGTCATTCTGTGCCTTATTTCTTTTTTTTTTCTTTTTTCTTTTTTTTTTTTTTTTTGGTTTTTCGAGACAGGGTTTCTCTGTGTAGCTTTGTGACTTTCCTGGAACTCACTCTGTGGCTCAGGCTGGCCTCGAACTCACAGAGATTCACCTGGCTCTGCCTCCCGAGTGCTGGGACTAAAGGCGTGCGCCACCACCGCCCGGCTGTGCCTTATTTCTCTGAGGCAGGGTTACTTACTGAACCTGGGAGCTGGCTGTTTGGCTAGGCTGGCCAGTAAGGCCCCAGGATCTACCTGTCTCTGCACAACAGCTTTGGGGTTCTAGCCAGGTACAGCTGTGTCCCCCTGTTTTACGTGAAAGGTTAAGATTCAAACTTAGGTCCCCATGCTTGCACAGCAATCACTTTGACCCACAGAATCATCTCCCCAGGTCCCTGTTTTTACTCTCCAGTCACCCCACATACATCTGGGGTTGTTATTCTCCCCGACCATGGAAAGTCACACCTTCTACTTTTTGAGGATAGGACATAGGCTGGATTTCTTTGTCCCTCTCAAGTATGCAAAGACTCAAGTCCTAGAAGAAGAGAGGAAGGAGGAAGCAGAACGGAAGTGCCTACCATTAACTATGAGGAAACAGAACGAGGCCTGCGTGGAATCCAGGACTCAGGAAAGCAAGGCTTATTAACCTACATGCCAACATGAGTGAATCTTGAAAGAACTGTGTTAGGTGAGAAGAGCAGTCACAGACCATCCATCAGTCGTCGAGTTTATGTGAAATGGCCAGAATAGGCAAATGTATTGAGTCAAAAACCAGATTAGCATCTGGTGGGGCGAGGAAGACAGGTTAGGAGGAGTAGTCATAAATCTTAATGGTATAGGTTTGGGGGCATATGACAGATGATATTCTAAAACTGATTGGAGGTGAATTATATGTTGAAAGAATTATACTTCAAAAAAGCTGTTATTTAGACAGAAAGGGAGGTGATGGCCCCATGGATGCCTCCTCCCCTGCCTCGGCCATCTTCACTTGGAAAAGCGTGGCCTCGCCTGGAGGTGTTTGCAGATCCCAGGCTTCATCGTCAGCCCATAGGTGGGTGTCAGGTCCACCTTCGTGCCTGGTGGCACACTGAACTCCAGCTGCTGCAGCATGATGGCTAAGAAGAGGAAGACTTCCCACTTGGCCGGGATCTCCCCAATGCACCGGCGCTTTCCCAAGCCAAAGAGCATCACCTTTTCACTCAGTGTCTTGTTGATGGCTGTGTTATTATCAGTGAGAAACCGCTCTGGACGGAACACAAAGGGGTCTTCCCACTGCTTCCTGCAAGAGGAACAGATAGGACCCGAGTTGGGTGGGTTCTGGGAGGAAAGCGTAGCTATGTTCTCCCAGCTTCTGGGAACACAGTGTTGGAAAAGATTGACGGTCACAAAAGCATGTGGGGAAGGCACCAGACTTGGCCTGTATCCCGTTTTGTTATGGTTCTTTTGTATTTGTTTGCTTTGAGACTAGGTCTCATGTGTCTAAAGTTGGCCTTGAACTTCATATGTAACCCCAGGGTCACCTTGTTTGAAATGCTGACCCTTCTGCCTCTACCTCCCAAAGTGCTGGGATTACAGGCATGTGCTACCACATCTGGTGCTTGGGATCAAACCCAGGGCCTTGTGTTGGTAGTGTTGGCACTCTACCAACAGCTGACCTCCAGCCATGTTACTGTTTCTTTAAAATAAAATTCTCTCTAAAATGATCAACCTTAAAGATAGTGGATTTTGATTATTTTTTAATTTTTTAAATTACATTTTTATTTATTTGCTTGTGTGTGCACGTGGAGGTCAGAGGACAACTTGCAGGAGCCATTCTCCCTTCCGCCATGGTGGGCCTGGGGACTGAACTCGGGGTGTTAGTTGTGGCAGCACATGCCTTTACCTGCTGAACCATTCCCACAGTCCAAGATAGCGTTTTGTTTTGCTTTTTTTTTTCTTTTTGTTTTTCGAGACAGGGTCTCTCTGTGTACTCCTGGTTGTTCTGGAACTCTCTATGTAGACCAGGCTGGCCTCAAACTCACAGAGATCTGCCTGTCTCTGCCTCCTGACTGCTGGGATTAAAGGAGTGCGCCACCACTGCACAGTGGCTGATAGTGGTTTTTAATATTCTTTTGTTTTAGTTTCTTTTTTTTTATTTTTATTTTTGATGTGGTTCTGGGAATTGAACCGAGGGCCTTCCATGTCGCATATATGACCAGTGAGCTATAGCTCCCGTCCTAATTGGATATTTCAAAGAAATAATGCTTTACCAAGAGGAAACGGAAAGAAGGAAACAGGTTTCTCTCTCTCCTAATTCCAGTAGCAAGGGAGATCACCAACTTGCTCGGCTTATGCTTATTTTTCTGGACTAAAATTTGACAGTACAAATATGGATGGCATTCTGATGTTCAATATGTCCTGGTTTGGATGGATTGCATCCTACAAATTAGAGTGGAGTTTTCCAAGGAGATCATTAGACCATTCCCATAAGACATTTGAGGTAGCCTCATTATCTATCCAACTGAAACCTTGGGGCATGAGGAAACTTCCTAGTCAAATTCTCCTTCCTTCCTTCCTTCCTTCCTTCCTTCCTTCCTTCCTTCCTTCCTTCCTTCTTTCCTTCTTTCCTTCTTTCCTTCCTTCCTTGAGACAGGTATATAGCCTAGACTAGCCCAAAACTCACCAATAAGTCCAGACTGGCCTTGAACTCACTGTAATCCTCCTGCCTCAACCTCCTGAGTAGGCTGGATTACAGGCATTTGCCATCCACACCAGATACCTAGTCAGTTCTTCTGTACACTGAAGTTTGAGAAATAGAGTGTAAATGTTGTCACTTGGAACAGGCGATCTAGCAATGAGGTGGTGCTCCTTATGTAAGCAGGTCCTGAAGGACAGACGACAACCTTCCCTGAGGGACAGACAACCTTCCTGATCCCTGAGGATTCACCATTCCCGTCAGGGCCACGTACTCACTCGTCATGGTTGACCTGCCACTGGTTTATGAAGATACAACGCTCCTTGGGAATGTGGAAGCCATTCAGTGAGGTGTCCCTCGTTGTGCTGAGGAGAGAAGAGAAGCTCAGGACTTGGAGAAACTGTGGTGTGGCTTCTTCCTCCCTCCACTCCATCCCAGTGTCTGACTACCACAGTCTTCAAGCCCCATACTAGGAGGTCACATGAAGAGCAGGGAACATGGGGCAATTATCCTTCCTTTTGCTGGGATCCTGCTCTTCAACTTCAACACTTGTTTACTAGACTCTCCTTGTGCTCAGACGTGCACTGGGGCAGTCCCTAGAGCCAAGAAATCAGTGGCTGGGGCTTGCCCTGGGGAGTCTGCAGGTTTGTGCCAGGAATAACTAGGCTAAGGTGTGAGCGGAGGTAAATGTTCACTCTCACAATCCAGGAACTTGGGCTGTAAATCTTGTAAATCATCGGGGGATGAAGCCCTACTTGGCGGATGAGCCAAAAGAGGCTTCTAGATGGAAGGGGATGCGTTTGTCAGGATTGACTTTGGGCAAGGGTAGAATTTGGAAGCGAGAGAAAGAGATGGATAGAAGTTTTTCTAGGCAGAAGGTCCAGCATAAGCAAAGTTGGCCGGTGGCTGGATTACCCTTGTGAGGGACAGTGAGGAGGGCCTGGCTGGAGCAGAAGCTGTCCATAGGGAGCTAACACAAGTGGAGGTGAGTGACAGCTGAGGCCATAAGCGGCTGGACTGGGTCGGGGTAGACCAGAGACTGACTGAGACTGAGGTTACCACGTTCCGGAATGAGATGCAGCCTGAGCTGGGGGCAGAGCTGAGGAGCTGGGTGAAGGAACAGTATGAAAACTTAGGGGGCAGAGAACAGGGGCCTTACCTGTGGGGGATGGTGAAGGGGACAAAGGATGTGTATCGGTAGATCTCCAGGATGAAGGCCTCGATATAAGGCAGCTGAAGTCTGTCAGAAAGCCGTGGTTGCCGGTCCCTCCCAATCACCGTGTCTGCAAAGCACAGGCAGAAATCATGGGATGTTCTGTCTGCTCCAAGCATGTGTCTCTCTTATACTAGTGTCACTCCATGTTGGACTATGCTTACTCATGTTTCTGAGACCCCACCCGCCCCCACACACACCTTCTCTGGACCAGTGCCATGTTCCTAGGACTTAACACACACTAGACACATAAACATGTATTTGTAGATCAACAAGTGACCTGGAGCCTCAAGGCTTCTCTGACCGGAGGGTTGGGAGCAACACATACCCAGCTCCTTGTGGATCTTCCTCTGCACATTGGGATGTGTCACGAGGAGCAAAAGGCTCCAGGAGATGGCTGTTGTGACTGTGTCAAATCCTGGGTAGCAGGGAGTAGGGTGAAGGAGAAAAGGAAGCATGGGGGAGGAAAACATTTTTAACAAGCACCGCTGTAAACGGAGCAGGCAGGAGCAAGCACTGTCCCTCTCTGGCTCCCACCCCTGTGTATCCTGGGGCAAGGGCTGAGTCCTCAACAGAAACCTGAAAGCCAAACATGGTGGCTTATTCCTAGAACCCCAACACTAGGGAGTCCGAGGCAGGGAGAACTGCCACACGTTTGAGGCCAGCCTGGGCTGCAGAGGCGAGAGCTTGCCTCAAACAAAACAAGTCAAGCCGGGCGGTGGTGGCGCACGCCTTTAATCCCAGCACTCGGGAGGCAGAGGCAGGTGGATCTCTGTGAGTTCGAGGCCAGCCTGGTCTACAAAGCTAGTCCAGGACAGGCTCCAAAGCTACAGAGAGACCCTGTCTCGGAAACAAAACAAACAAACAAACAAAAAAAGTCAAAAGCAACCAAATCGAAAAACAAAACAAATCAAACAAGAACCTTAATAGATACTGGTTTCATAATCAGTGGCTGGAATTATAAGCCTGGACTCCATGTTGTACAGTCCTTTTACTTTCCAGGTGGGGAAACCCAGGCCCCAAAAGGAGAGGGACTTGGTTAAGTTGGTGGCACAGCATGAGGTCACACCTTGATCCTAGGGCAGGTGTCTGTCCTGTGTCACCTGCCATGTGGTTGGTGAGTTAGTTGATAGGTTGGGTATGGGTAAAGAGCAGCTGACAGATGGAGAGGCAGGGGTGTGGCTCCTACCTGCTCCAAAGAGGTCATTGACAATGTTGACAATCTTCTCGTGAGGGATGAGGCCACCATTGTCTTTGGAGTTCTCACTGTGCTTGAATAGGGCACCCGTGATGTCCTGGATACTGTTCTAAGAGGACATAAGTTTAGGGGAACTTTGGCATTTCGAGGGCCAGATGCCAGACCCTGACCCATCCCATTTGATATGTCCCCAGGGCCTGGGAACGGCATTGGCCTCCAAGCACAGGACTGGGATTCAGATTTTTGAACTGGCATCATCCCTAAATAGAGCCTAGTCATTTCACGTGCCACTGACCCTTCTTTCCCCTAACCCCAGGGGTCGGGTTTCAGAGGAGGAAGAAGTAGGTGTGAACACAAGGAAGAAAAGCGACATGAAGCTGGAGCTTAGCCTCTGTGGAGGGTCATGTTCCTGCAGAACAATCGCCTTTAAATTAATGACACCCCATATTGCAAAGCCCTGCCAAGGTTCCATTCACATGCCTTTGTTTTCTGGGTTTGGAGAAGCCCCCAGAGGGGAGCTGTAACGTACACGGGGTGGCTGCAGGTCACACAGCTGCTCTGAGTGGCCCGGAGCCTCCCTACGCCTTGGCAGCACATGGCAGTCTGAGTACCTTGGAGTAGGTTTTGAGGGGATGTTCTCTGGGCCTATGGTGGTGATGGGATTTACAACCTGCCTCCGAGTCTCACCTTGTTGAAGTCTTGATAGTGCTCCTGGACTGTCTTCTGTAGAAACAGCACAAATTTGTCATTGAAGTTCTTAAACCTCTTGAGGGCTGGGTTGGGCAGGTAGCGCAGGATGGGGAAGAAGTCCACAGCATTCCCTGAGGAGACATTCTCCACAAAGTCGCTGCTGCTCTTCACAATGCTCAACATCTCCTCGCTCTTCCGGGGGAAGTTCTCTCCAAAGCACATGGCTCCAATGACGTTAACCACTGATTCCACCACCAGATTGACGGGTTCGAAGTGGCCAACCTCTGCCATCTGCTTCTGGAACTTGCTGACTAGATGGTTAGCCTCCTTGCTCACGTGCTCCTCTAAGTAGCAAGAAGATGTGGAGGTCGGGTCTGAGGCTATGGAGAAACTCTTCAGGGCATCCTGGGCCAGGCGCCGACGGGCAGCCCACACCGGTCCAGAGTCTGGGTTGAAAGTCATGCTCTTGCCATTAGTGATAAGTGTGAAACTGTAGAGGTCTGGCCGGCCCTTGAAGTCATCTCCCTTCCGTACCAGGGCCTGGCGGATGGTGTCCAGGCCACTCAGCACCACCACAGGTGTGGAGCCAATGCGGATCTGCAGCACATCCCCATACTGCTTGCTCAGCTTTGTCAGTGACAGGTGTGGGTTCTTCCCCAGGGTCAGCATATGCCCAATGAAGGGCCATCCCCAGGGTCCAGGTGGACTCTTCAGACCTTTGGGGACCCGGGGTCTTAAAGCTCTGACCACCCAAAATACTATACAGAAGATGGCAGTGGCCAGTAGTAGCTCTGTGGCCAAGGAGAAGTACTGGAACAATGCCATCTGTACCAGCTGCAGGGGAAATGGAAGGATGGGGTGGTTAAGGATGGATTCTGAGCCTCCATTTTTTCTTTTACTCACTCATTCAGTAGGTATACATTCTACGATTAGCTTTCAGCCGCACACCAGGGAAGTGAAGATATCCCTGTCATATATCCTGCTCCCTCAGGAATTTGCCCTTACCCTGTCACAGAATTCAAGGACTGGGAAACAGCCGTGTATTTACCAACTTTAGTGTCTGGATTTCTACCCCAGGCTCTGCGGTCTACCTCTGCTCTCATTTCCAATTCTGAGACTGGAGTAGATGGGAATGGTCACTCGAAAACAATGAGGCTAAAGACAGTTTCTCAACAGCCCCAGTCACAGAGTGCTTGCTGGGCTTTCTGCCAAAGGGTCCAACATAGCGTGGGCTCCCAGTCGGTACCCTCTACACACCCAGGGAACAGAAGATGCCCCCTTACCCAAGCAACAGAAGGTCAGTGTCCCTGGGATGTTACCAATGGCCTGGGATATTCCTCCCCCTCAATGACACTCTAACAATACCAAGCAGGGGTATCTCCTCCAAAAATCAGTCTTCATTCACCTCCATGTTTGGAGGCTGAAGGAGGCTATAGCCAGGTCCAGGGCTACCTAATGCCAGACGGGCATTTTCTCCCTCTGTCTTCACTCCAGGCGACTGTCCTTAGAGACAGCCTAGTTGAAACTACTAAATTAAAAATAGGGGGCCAGTAAGATGGCTCAGTGGTTCAAGGCAATTGCTGCCAAGCATGACAACCCGAGTTTGATCCCTGGAATCCACATGGTGGAAAGAGAGAACTGACAGCTGACTCTAGAAAATTGTCCTCTGAGCTGTGGCATTCAGACAGACACATGGACACACAAACACACACATACACACACACAGAGAGAGAGAGAGAGAGACAGAGAGACAGAGAGACAGAGACAGACAGAGACAGACAGAGAGAGACAGAGAGAGACAGAGAGACAGAGAGAGGTTTAAAAGAGAAACTAAGGTCCAGGGCTGAGAAGCAAGCAGCAAAACCTCAGACCTCCTTCAGTTCCCGCAGGGTCCCCTAATAGCACTTAGGATGTAGAAGCAGATGCCGTGATCCGAAAAGACACACAGACATACCTGAAGGGCAGGGCCTGGAGATCACAGAGCTGTAGGAGTCAGTCCAGGACTTCTGGGTTCAGGCGAGGGGACTTTTATACCACCCCCCCCCCCTGGACTGGCCCAACTGTCCGGGTCACTTGATATCAAAGCTGGATACCGAGAAAAGTTGGAAGGATCAATTTTTGGCTTTGAGCCATGATTCCTCAGCTGCACCTTCTAGTGGGGGCTCAGGAATAGCTCTTTGAGTCAGAAGAGGTTCTGGGTCCCTGGAGATAAATATCCATGGCATTTTATGGGCCAGGGTAGGGAAAACAACACTTTCAAAGACAAGGCAGGGTCCGGGATGTAAAAATGAAGCCTGTGGACAGGTATAGCCTCTTTTGCACTGTACCCACAAGAAAGGGACATGTCTAGCCCCCAACCCAGGCCAAGCAGGAGCAGCACGGGCTCTCTGGGATGGCAGATAGGGAGTTGCATTATACTAGTGACTTTTCTCCATTTGACAAACTGTCCATCAAAAGTAAGCTAAGGAAGGAGGGTTATTTTGGTTCACAATTTTGTAGTATAGTCCAGGGTGGCAGGGACATCACAGCAGCCGAAACCCGAGGCAGCAGGTCACGTGGTGCCTGCAGTTAGAATGCAGAGGGAGATGAATGCTTCTGTTAGACTCCGCCCCCCCATACACACACATATACAATAGATAAAAATTGTAAAACTTTAAAACATATAAGCTGGGCACTGATGGTGAACACCTTTAATTCCAGCACTCAGGACACAGAGGCAGGCAGATCTCTGAGTTCAAGGCCAGCCTGGTCTACAGAGCAAGTTCCAGGACAGCTAGGGCTACACAGAGAAACCCTGTCTCCAGAAAAAAAAATATTATTTTTATGCATCTATATACACATTCTGGGCTGTCAACATGGCTCAGTGGGTTAAGGTGCTTGCTGAAAAGCCCACAGGACCTGATCCCTGTGGGAGCCCACGGAGGCTATCTAGTGAGACCTTACTCAGGGTCAGAGAATCTGGGCTTGCTTTACCCAGTAGGGCTGTGTAAAGAAATTATTGGACCACGGGTGTGTTTACCAGGTGTTTGGAAGGGTCTACATTTGGCTGTACAGTGTGCTTTGATCTTGCAAGAGGGAAGTTTTTTTGCCTCTCCTCTTGGCATATTAAAAAAAGGCCCTTTCCAATAAAGGATGAGGCTGTTGGGTATTGACCCAGGCCCTCCTGAACCTATCCTGTGTTTCTGTCTTTCTTTTTTTTTTTTTTTTTTGGTTTTTCGAGACAGGGTTTCTCTGTGTAGCTTTGCGCCTTTCCTGGAACTCGCTTTGGAGACCAGGCTGGCCTCGAACTCACAGAGATCCGCCTGGCTCTGCCTCCCGAGTGCTGGGATTAAAGGCGTGCGCCACCACCGCCCGGCCCGTTTCTGTCTTTCTTACTGTTGGCTAGGTCTCTCTTTCTATCTGATATTTCCCCATTCCTCTCTTCTCCACCTAATAACCCTTCAAAAGGTGGGAGCTGGACTCCCAGAGATCCCCAGGACTCACAGGGTAGAAGGAGAGAATAGATCTTGCAAGCTGTCCTCTGATTTCCATGTGAGCACCAAGGCACACAGACACACAGACAGACACACAGACAGACAGACAGACAGACACACACACACACACATACATTAAGCTTCAGAATCAATTTGTGCAAGTGTCAAGAATGTGTTGTGGAATGTTTGTATAATGTGTGACAACGTATTGCTGTGATTGGTGTAATAAGTTGAACAGCCAATAGCTAGGCAGGAGAGTATAGGCAGGACCTCCAAGCAGAGAGAGAACTCTGGGGAGAAGAAAGGCACAGTTGCCAGCCAGACAAGGAGGAAGCAGGATGGGCAGTGTGGAGATGAGGTAATGAGTCATATGGAAGAATGTTGATTTTAAAATATAGGTTAATTTAAGTTATAAGAACTAGTTAGGAACAAGCCTAAGCTAAGGCCGAGCTTTCATAATTAATAATAAGTCTCCGTGTCATTATTTGTGGGCTGGCTGTTCTGATGAGAAAGTACTACTACAAGAACAGGACTCTGACAGAGTCCCAGAGCCAATTTGAAGACATCCGGGAAGGAGGGAACACTGTTCCTGTCTGTGTCTTCACTGGGCTCAGCTCACTCAATGAAAAGGGTCAACCTGGAAACCTGGCTAAGTTTTGTACAAATTTGTTTTCTTCTTTCTCATTAACTGAACTCCTTATTTTATTTAGATACCTCCTCCCCACCCCTTTTTTATGAGACAGGATTGGTCTATGTAGCCTTGGCTGTCCTGGAATTTACTATGTAGACCAAGCTGGCCTCTAACTCAGAGATCTGCAGCCTCTGCCTCCTGAGTGCTGGGATTAAAGGCCTGTGTCACTATGCCTGGCAAAAAATGTGCTTTAAAAAAACAAACAGCCGGGCGGTGGTGGTGCACGCCTTTAGTCCCAGCACTCGGGAAGCAGAGCCAGGTGGATCTCTGTGAGTTTGAGGCCAGCCTTGTCTGCAGAGCGAGATCCAGGACAGACAGGCACCAAAACTAGACAGAGAAACCCTGTCTCGAAAAACAAAACAAAACAAAAACCAAAAAAATGTTTTTATTTTATTATGGGCATGCACGTGTGCGTGTTTTGCCTTCATGTATGTTTGTGAATCACATGAGTGCAGTGCCCAAGGGGGCCGGAAGAGGTCGTCAAATTCCCCTGGGTCTAGAGTTACAGATGGTAATGAGTCACCACATGGGTGCAGGGAATCAGGGTCCTTTAGAAGAGCAGCCAGGGCTCTTAACCACTGAGACATCTCTCCAGCTCCTAGATGTCATTAATTTGTATTTAATGTTATTTGTTTCAGGATCCCCTTTGGGATACCAGGTGATATGTAGACGTGGAAACTCTTGGCTGTGACGTGGTAACTCTTGGCTGTGATGTGGTTCTCCGACTGCCCTTGCTTTTGATGACTGATCATTCTCAGGAGCCTGGGTCAAGGGTTTTGTTGTACATCTCGATGTTAGAATTGGTCTGGTGTTTTTCTTCTGGCAAGCCTGAGGTTGTGGGTTGTGGGCAGAAGGGTCTCAGAGGTAAAATGACATTAACACGACCAACCATTGTCTTTGAGATTTTGATCAGTTGACTGAATAGTGACTGTCAAGTTTCTCCAAATATATATTTTATAAATACTTTAACATAATTTCTTTATTTATGCTTTGGGACCTTCACATCATGCGCCCCAATTCTGCTCATGTCCCAGTCCCCCCATGTCTGCCCCCTCATCCTTGCCGCATCCCCTGCAAAATAAAACAAAATAAAATAAAAAAAAGCTAAACCCAAACCAAACCAATCAAGAACCCCTCATTCCTCTGTCTTTCCCACCTCTCCAACAACTCTTCATTCCTCAGTGTCATTGGGAGCCTCAGTATGTCACACAGCTTTACTGACAAGTGTTCACTGCAGCGAGTCATTGGTCTGGTTCAAAGCCTCTGTTTTCTGGTGCATCATCATCACTGGACCCTCACTGAAACTCTCTCAGATATTCTTTTTTTTTTTTTTTTTTTTTTTTTTTTTTTTTTTGGTTTTTCGAGACAGGGTTTCTCTGTGCAGCTTTGCGCCTTTCCTGGGACTCACTTGGTAGCCCAGGCTGGCCTCGAACTCACAGAGATCCGCCTGGCTCTGCCTCCCGAGTGCTGGGATTAAAGGCGTGCACCACCACCTCCCGGCCAGATATTCTATGGTAGCCCAGAGTTCAGTACCTTCATGAGCTCCAGCAGGTCGTAGAGTAGATGTGTGGGGGGGCGCCAACCCAAGGTCCTGGATGTGGGCCTGGGTAGTAGCTGAGCTGGTCAGTCTGGGCCACTGGGGCTGCCCTCCTCAGGCAAGAGGTGGAGCCACCTCTCTTAGGCCATGTCATAAGGGCCAGATCTCCCATGCCTGTGGTGAGGGGTGGGGCCATCTCTCCTGAGTGTGTGTGTGGAGGACATCTCTCTTGCTGCAGTGTCCAGCAAGGGGCAGAGCCAGCTTTCCCAGGGCTAGCAAAGGGTGGGCCCAGCTGAGCATGGCCCTCTGATTTCATCACACATGGTTCCTATGCCCCTCTGTGGTAACACAGGCCACAGACATCAACACAGACCCCAGCTGCAGCCGGACCATGGACCCAGACTTGGCCCTCAGCAGCAGCTTGGGCAGTACGACACCATGGCTCCTGGTGGCACCATAGTCCACTTGGATCAGCATGGCTCTGGCAGTGGCAAGGCCCTCAGGCACCAACAAGGCCACAGGGTGTGGCCCAGACCCTGGGCTTCTATGTGGCCTTTGGTAGGCACATGGGCCTCCAATTTCAACACAGACCCTGGATTTTATCCACTTTTAAGTCATTTTTTTCTCTCTCTTTCCATTCTGTACCCTTTGAAAGAAATCACTGTGCACAGCCCACACCCAGGAAGTAGGGAGTAGTTACATAAATATTTGGACATTTATCTATGAAAGATTGCTTTTGTTTTTAATGTTTTTAAAAATTAAACTCCAGGCCGGGCGGTGGTGGTGCACGCCTTTTGTCCCAGCACTCGGGAGGCACAGCCAGGCCGATCTCTGTGAGTTTGAGGCCAGCCTGGTCTACAGAGCGAGATTCAGGACATGCACCAGAGCTACACAGAGAAACCCTGTCTCGAAACACCAAAAGAAAAAAAAAAATTAAACTCCAAGAGGGCTGGGGATGCAGCTCAGTTGGTACAGGACTTGCCTACCACATATCAGGACCCAGTTTGATCCTTGGTATTTTGTCAATGGAGCATGGTGATGCATGCCTGTAAACCCAGCTCTTGGGAGGTGCAGCTAGGAAGATCAGAGGTTCAAGGTCATCCTGGATTCATAGGGAGTTTGAGGCCAGCCTGGGCTACATGAGAAAGTATCTCCAAAACAAAATAAAACAAAACCCCACAATAAAGAAAAATGCACATATCATACCTAGCTCAATGACATTTTTGTTTTGCTTTGCTTCACTTTGAGACAGCCTTACTATATAGTACAGTGTCCATGCATACCTCCAGGTATTGAACATGACTAGAGCCAAAAGAGAATGAAGAAAAGACAGACAGACAGATATACAGAGAGACAGAGAGAGGGAAAGAGAGAGAGGGAGAGAGAGAGAGAGAGAGAGAGAGAGAGAGAGAGAGAGAGAGAGGAAGGGAGGGAGGGGGAGAGGGAGAGGGAGAGGGAGAGGGAGAGGGAGAGGGAGAGGGAGAGAGAGAGAGAGAGAGAGAGAGAGAGAGAGAGAGAGAGAGAGAGAGAGAGAGGAGAGAGGGAGAAGAGAGCGAGAAAGAACACGGAAGAAGACTGGGATCAGGTTCTGGGCTCTCAAATGGAGAAACTTCAGTACCCTGGAAGTTCATTGTATTTATTATATCAAGTTGAACAGAGAGGTGGGGGTTATTACAGACAGCTGAACAAGGAGGTGGTGTTATCACAAACAGATAAGGAGGCGGGGTTTATGGTACACAGTTGGATCAAGGAGACAGGTGTAGATAACCTCAGTAGGAGCAGTCTCTGGAGGGAGCAGACTTCAGGCTGTAAATATCCGGGGAGGGGGGCATGGTGGACATTTTCTGC